GCCCAGTTTAATACTGCTATAAGGCTTGGTTCACACTGATGTGATGCGCAAAATGTACAGGACTCACGTTTGCTGCATCGCATCATAATCTCACCGTGTTCATGCAATCTGTTGCAGGTGTCGATGTTGAAGGGATTGTTCACTTTTACCAAAAAGCTGCCTATGCAGATAAAGGGTGTATGTAGATAAAGACAAACTGTGCAGTTCTGACTAAAGTTGAATAATAACTCTAGATGTAGGCCATTTACTTACTGCCTCAATTCTGACTGGAAAACTCCCAGGGCATTGCTAGGTGAAGCCTAGTCGTTACTGTTCACCTCCACCATCACAGGGATGATCCCTCAGATGCTGAGCTCAGAGCTGCTGCATCAGGGGAGAGCGAGAGTGTGTGTGAGGGGCTTCGATTCAGAGAAAGCGCTCACTCCTATGATAGTGTAGGTGAGCAGTAATGACTAGGCCTCACTTAGCAATGTCCTAGCAACGTCCTGGGAGTATTCCAGTCAAGCTTCATGAGGTACATAAATGGCCTACACCTATAGCAAGGGTATTATTCAAATTTAGTCAGACACACAAGGGGTTTATTTACTAAAGCTGCAGAGTGCAAAATCAGGCTCACTTCTGCATAGAAACCTATCAGCTTCCAGGCTTTAGGCTCCGTTCACACCAATGCGTTTTTTTTGTGCTTTTTGCAGAAACGCACTACAGTCCATTTAACATGGTTTCTTCTGGAACATGTTCACATCTATGCTTTTTTGAGCTGCTGTATTTTTGGAAAGGGTCAGGGACTTTTTTAAATGCCTAAAGCAGAATTTTTGCTATAATAGAGTTCAATAGAGAATCTGATGAATTGCATGGTAGTGTGTTTTTACTGCGATTTTTTGTGGTTTTTTTTTTTTTTTTTTTGCATTTTTATTCTTAAAAAAAAAAAGCTGAACGTGGCAAAAACAAGTGTAGAAAAACGCAAAACAAACTTCAAAAAGCGCTGCAAAACAGACAAAAAGCAAACTGCATAGGTGTGAACCAAGCCTTATCCTCCTAAGACACTAGTAAAAAAAACCAAAAAACTACTGTTTGCTGGTAGTTGGAGGGGTTATCCTTGGACTATCTTACAGTTTTGTTTGCCAGTACCATCCCTGTTTATGACATCTTGTGTCAATGGTTGACAGAACTGTATTTTTTTTTTTTTTCCCATAGACAAAATAATACTGTTTTGAGTGTTTACTTTGGCACTTACACAGGGGAAAATGTGAGCTGCGTACACACTGCTTCCTCTGTAACGCCAGCTGCTGTCCCAGGCAGAGTGATGCCAAGTGTGTGACGATCGTGGGGTCCGACCAACTTGTGACAAAAGACTTGTCAACATCACACTGCACTGTCACGCAACAATGGCACACTCAGCCCCACACTGCACAAAGATTTTCCAGCTTGTGGGACCACAATCTAGGTGCCAACATACTAAGAGCGATTGTTACTGGGTTTGGTTAACTAGGCAATTAACTCCTTTAAACTGCCATCATCAACTTTTACTGAAGAGTCAGAAAATTTCACAAGATTAGCAATAACAATTATGATTTTAAAATGTCTGTACACACTTGTCACTAAAGACAGGTATATGCAGAGATTTATCATATACAGTAGCGCTCTTCAAGAGAGGAATTCCTTTGGTTTGCTTTAACATGTTAGAGACAGTTTCAACACTGTTCAAAATAGGGTTTAATAATGAAAAGGTCAAAATGGTACAAATAAAATATTTACAACAAAAACAAAGATATATTACAAAGAGATGACAATGCAACAGAGAAATGAAAAGGAGCTGAGGGTGAGAATACTTTAATGTCCTGGTTTCAGAGTCCAATGAAAAAGCAAAGACAGTACAGTGGCTCTCTCAAGTCCGGTTAGTTGTTTGTTCCTTGCTTTGATGTTAAACAAGAGCTCCCAAAATGTGGTTGCATTCCACTTTTCTTCACATCAAAGGTGGTGTTGACTGAGACCATCTGACCAATTATCCGGTCTAAGGGGTGGTTGCTGGGATGTAATTACATTTATGACCAAGTCCCAAATACAGTATTCTGTAGGTATTAATATATCTGAATACCATGCATATTATTGTCCAGCTTGAAATTTTCTTCAGAATGAATGACCGATTTCAGATGTCTACTTTACCTAGGGAGTATATGGGGTGCCAGTGGTTCTCCATAGTCTCTATTATAGGGGTGTTTGGACTTAAAACGCTACAAGTTAACTGAGGGAGGTAAATATGTCCTTTTTCTGGCTGTGCTGTTATTATTTCACAAGTTATTAAATATACTGTTGTTTTAGGGCAGGGGTCTCCAGACTTTGTTAAGAAAGGGCCAGTTTACTGTCTTTCAGACTTTACAAGGGCCGGACTGCAGCCAGTGGGAGTAGAAAAGGTCCCGACATCAATGGGAAAAATATTGCCCCTTTGTTTTGTGCCAGTTGAAGGAATTTTTCCCCATTATTGATGTCATTGGACACTATCATTTGTGTCACTGGGAGTAATTATTCCTCATCATTGGTGTCATTGGAAGGAGTTGTGCCCCCTTCATTGGTGCACATGGGGGGGGAATTATACCCAATTGGTATCAGTGGATGAAATAGTGCCCCAAGGGGCAAATAAAAGCGAGCAAAGGGCCGCATCTGGCCCCCAGGCCACAGTTTGGAGACCATTATTTTAGAGTATTGGCTGCAAACCAGTCTATCAGGAATGCGTATTGCTATTAATATTACGATAGGGGGAAGAGCTGCAGATATCTGTTCAAACTCTAGTCACTCAAGCCAGCAAGTCAAACATTTTTATTGGGGTTTTCCAGACTGAAGTGTGGATTCGTCTAATAAGCATGAGGGCTTGCACTGGTCCAGATCTGATAAGAAGGTTCTGGCGTCAGTTAACAGTTGTGTATTGCACCAGAGGCTTCCTGGGGGAATGAATAGAAGGGGACCACTGCTGCTATTCACCAACTTGTGTTACAAACTGTCATGGCTGTATTCTGAACAACATGGCGTCCTTGCCCTTTCACCCAGCTATATGAGGGCTCAGTACGTGTTACACTACAAAATGCACCTCACCAGCCTGGAGAGCGATGCCAGCAGAAGCTGGAAGAGGAAAAGAAGCCTCTATTAAACAACACATACACTGTGCTTTTGCATTGGGCATATTCGCTCCTATAAAAGGGGTTAACAACTATTAGACTGCTTTCACACTGATCTGCGGGTGCAGCGCAGTGCACCTATATGTTTTAGCTGCATTGAGCCATAGACTTCTAATATATCCTGAGGGTTTGGTATGCTTTCTGAAAGTGCACCACACCAGCAAGATATAATAGAAGTCTATAGCAAAGCCCAGCTAAACCCGCAGGAAATGAGCCTAAGTTGTAGGTGCTAATATGCCCATTGCAAAAGCAGTGTATGCATTGTTTAAACCAAAACACATCAATGTGAAATTTGTGGTTTGAAGGGAAAGTACGATAAAACCCTACAGTTGACATGTGTTTTTACCACTGGTGTAGGGTCAAGGGTCACAGTGGCGCCCCTGTGCCATGCTTCAGGGGGCCCGTGCAGCCTACATGTCACATTCTATTTTAAATTTGGACAGGAGGGTTCGCAGGAACAACATATACAGCAACCAATCCTCTCCATTTTCCTCCTGCAACCTCTGAAAGCTGGCTTCTCCTCCTCTCCCTCCCACTAGAATTCAGCAGCTGCAGGAGGAAAATGTTCATTATGCTATTTACAATAAAAAATTTGAAATCCTGAACCTTTTCATTTCATTGTGGCCTGTGACCCGTTACCATATCACTTAAGTGGCCTTCGCTCTTCAAAGGGTAGAACACCTCTGCTGTGAAGTGTGGTCAGAGCTGTGCAGATTTTCATGAGTAATGCAAGTATACATATTTCATACCTGGCCAAACCTTTGCATTCATTGAAAAAAATGCAAGGTGTTCTCTGGATGGCACCTGTGCTGATCGACTTGGCACGGGACATGGAAAACTGTGAGTATCACTAGTAGCAGCGGTTACTATAATAACTTTCTACATTAACAGGGATTGGCCTGGAATATGTATACTTACATTGGCACAAGCTGGGCCAGTGAAAGTTTTTTTTTTTTTTTTTTTTTTTTTTTTTTTTAAATGGAATTCAACTTTACCTGCTTGCCCGCCACCCCATAGCAGATGTACTGCTACAGGGTGGCTTCGCTGAACAAAATCACGTAAATATACACCATTTTGCAATTTTGGGTAGGGGGCGCTCGCAGCCCTACCCATGCTGCTATTGGCTCCTAAGGATGTCAATCACCAGGTCCCGGGTGGCGATTTTCAACTGGGACTCTGTGATCGTCAGCAAAGCTGAGAGGGGAGAGATCTGTGTGTAAACAACACAGATCTCTCCGTCAGCATGCGTGTGCTGCTTTCTGTATCTCTGCACAGCAGAGATATAGAAAGCAGCAGGTCTGCTTAGTAAAACACAACACAGTACACAATAAAATCACTCCCTAACACACAGTTAACCCTTTGATCACCCCTAATGTTAACCCTTTCCAGTGTCAGTACAGTTTCGTCACATGCCTGATGAAGGGGTCCTGCGAGACTCCGAAACGTTGCCTTGCTGTAACTATGTAATCGTTCATTGAAACTTTTGGACCCATATTGGTGATCCTCGGTGTGCTGGTGACATCCTCCCTTGCTGATTCTGTGCGGTTCCAGCTGATGGTGGCTGCAGCACTCACTTATACACACAGCCATTTTCAACGCAGGAATGTGTAAGTTTGGATTGTACGCTTGCATTAGTACAGTGGCAGTGCATGTAATTAGCACTGATCACTGTATTCGTGTCACCGGAGATGTCCGTGGCAGTTAGTCAGGTTTTTTTAGAACTACAATATTTGACTATTCTTACTTGGTGTTTTTTTTTTTGTATTGTTTTTTTCGCTAATTTTTTATAGGTAATGATTTTATTTTTCTGGTGATTTCTTTTCCTTGCAGGTATTGGTATGGACACATGCGTCATTCCTTTAAGACACGGTGGCCTTTCTTTGGTTCAAACTACAGATTACATTTATCCCATTGTAGATGATCCTTATATGATGGTAAGTTGAAATAATTGCTCATTTTGGCAGAGAAAATATAAAATTTGCAGAATGTTATAGCTGTAAAATAGAAGTTCTTCATATTTTATTGCTTTTGGTGTAACCTAGATGATGTAGAAAAATCTCATAATTATCCTGTGAATGCTACCTGTGAAACCCCTTCAGTCAATTTCCATATGTCCTTTTAAAGGAAAGCTATCATGAATTTGGGTGTTTTTTGTTTTGTTTTGTTTTTTTGGGGCGAATAAATCATGGTCATGTAAAATATCCGCAGTAGGGAGATTTGGCTGCAGTAAATGTTTTGTTAAGTGTGAGATTCACTGCTTTATAAAGAGACCCCTAAGGGCCTGTTCACACTGCCCTCACACTAAACCACAGCACCTTGGTGAGCAGACCTTTGTCCATTTCAGTTTCAGTGAGTCAACTGTAGGGGGCAGTGTGATGTGTGTATTCCTGCATCTCACAGTTTTTTTGTTTTTTTTTTTTCACTATATTTGAAGAGCACAAACTGACATGAGAGCCCGGTAAAGGCAGCTTGTAAAAGTAATTTAACAGCTCTTTAGCTGCTCCGATTACTTTTTCTTTGTACAGAATCATCGGCTGTAAAGAATATTTCAGTCATCGTTGCAGCAATGACCTAGTTGTCAACCTTTCCTATCCAAGGATATTCGAGTACTTCCTATGGACGGGATGTGGTTATTATATCCAGATTTTTTTACAGGCGACCAGAGTGAAGTGGTATCTTGAAAACTAGAGCTGATAGAGAAATATTGGTGCCATTTTTGGAATCAGCAGGTCAAATATACCCAGGAACAGGTCTAACATTCAAGGCATCAAAAAGTGTGTTGGCCTGTATAATCTTAGTAAGATTGTTTTTTAACCACTTTAAGTCCAGACACTTTCACCCTCTTCCTGTCCAGGCCAATTTTCAGCTTTCCGTGCTATCATACTTTGAATGACAATTGCGCGGTCATGAACACTGTACCCATATGATTTTTTTTGAGACAGATCAAACTTTTTATTTTGCTGGTATTTATTCACCACTGGGATTTTTATTTATTTATTTTTTCTATATAAATGAAAGTAAAATAAAGACTAGAAAAAAAAGTGTTCTCTTATAAAATTTTGCAAATAAATAATCTTTCTTCATAAATCTTGGCCAAAATGTATTCAGTTATCTTTTTAGTAAAAGAAAAAAACCCAAATTGGTTTATAACCAAAAATTATAATTTTTCAAAATGTCACCCTAGCAGTACAGTGTCACCATAGTGACAATGTAGTACCTGTGGGGGGTGATGAAGATTTTTTTTTTTTTTTTTTTACACTGATTGCTTTTACACCCATAAAGGCTGTAAAAGCAATCATTTTTCCTTCTCTCTGACTGCATTCTTGCAGCCAATAAGAAATATTGTGAGAGTTGTGATTGGTCATATGGTACAAGGCTGTTGTGAAAAGCCTTGTACAATCACAGATTTCACTAGTAGTAAGCAATGATGTCAGCAAGTGACATCTTGCTTGCTACTATTTCATGTAATCACTGATTGGCCAATCAGCAATCACAGGATCAGGACCTCACACAGAGCTCCCAGGGAGCGCACATAGTCTGACCAAAGCAAACTGATAAAAATGCCTACTATTATGTTTTATGAGCCAGATGTTTGACCTAGTTTTACTTAGTTACTGAGGTATTACTTCCCTGATTTCAGACTAAACTTCACCTTTTTCTATTCAGCTGTCAAATGAGAATGCTTTAGTGGCCTGTAAGGGGAGGGGAGGGGAGGGGCTGCACTGCACTGGTTAGCTGCTCGTTTTGTTCTAGGGGATATGAACAGCAGAGATATATTTACCTGACTGGTCCCTTTGGCTCCTAACCCCCCCCTGCAGTCTAGCAGTCTTGTAGATGGACAGTTCCTGATGTCAGCACGCTCCATAGCCAGGAACAGTCCATCACTGGACTGTGGGGGAGCGTGGTTTTCCAGAGGATTAGGGGGTCAGCTGAGTATGAGCTTTGTGCTCACCCCTAGAAAATAAACAGCAGTTGACCCATGCAGTGGTGCCACAGCCCCACTGCATGGTTAAATAACATATTTGCATGTTGTTCGGCTTTAAAAAAAAAAAAAAAAAAAAAAAAAACTGTTTTGCATACGAGTGATCTTGTGCTTTTATAGACAATGCTTTTATTTTAAAACCTTTAAAATTCCTGACAGGTTCTCTTTAATGTGTGCCATTAATCTAATTTATTTTCCAAAAATACATTAAACAGGACTTGGGATAGAAATATGGGAGCTGCCACTGCTGACATGGTAACGGTGCATGTTCTGGGACAGTCGTCCACATCCTTGCTACATCATTTGGTAGGTCAGTTGGAATAAGAATGCAGTCACAATGTGCATATCTTCTTGGCCAACGATTCACTAAATAGTAAAGCAAGGATTGGAGTTATGATACAGAATCTGCTCCATTCAAAAGGCAGCATTAGCTCTTCTATGTCTATTCTGATGGAATCCCCTAAAATCTAATCTTAAACTGTATTGGTGCTCTTCCTGTTATTGAAAAGCTGTCCCTTGTAAATGCAAGATAATGTATATACTTTAAAGGATCATTTACATAATTAATTGATCTGTCTTTTTTCCAGGGACGAATAGCATGTGCAAATGTATTAAGTGACCTTTATGCAATGGGAGTCACTGAATGTGACAACATGCTTATGCTTCTTGGTGTCAGTAATAAACTGACTGATCGGGTAGGTAATATAATGCGTAAGTACACGATCTAAGCAAATACTGTTGAAAACCATAATTGATTCTCATGCATGGAAACTCTCAGAAACAATGCAAATGTTATGCACCACTTTACCATTTGATGTTTCTTGGATATGCAGGGCTCCTAGCAACAATAAGCACCACCCCTTTTCCAATACTGCAGGCACAGAAGGAAGTCCTGCCAAAAAACTAATGTAGAGAAAACAAGAGATACAGCTTTATTCTACCAACAAATGGTAAAATGCCAGGCTATTCATATGAGCCCCGCAGTAAAGAAACAAGTTACTGCCCATCATGCTTGTGCTACTTTCTGCAGTACTTCTACAGTATATATGTGGAAGAAATATATATAATTTGTTTTTTTTTTTTGTATGGGGAGACAGTGCAGGTGAGGATATATTGTTTGCACAACTGTATGCCTTTTCTGCGCACTTGTTTTTAAATGTGTCAACTAAACCCTGTTTTTTTTAAATGTGCCTCGTTTTATTGAATTGTGCACTGTAAGGCAGTCCTAACCTATTAAAGTATATATATAGCTGTATACTTTTTTGCTAGATCCACCCCAGCCTGGTGGAGGGAGAAACTTTGCTCTCCCTTGCCTAATGTGTTGCCATACCAGTGTGCAAAGCCAATAGGTGCTGATTGGCTCACAACATTACCTATCCTAATTTTTGTGCTGCTGTTCACGGGATTTATGGAGGCTGATATAAAGTCAACTTGAAGTATTTATGCTTGGGACACACTTAAATTACTTGCAAGTTATGTGTGAATCATTTCCCTTTAGGATTGCATAATTTAATTGGCAGACACACAGCATTTGAACATTATATGTGTGAATTTGAAAACTGCATATTGGGTGTATACTGAATGTTTCTTTGTAATTTTCCCCCAGTTTCCCAACTCTAGGTACCAGAGACCACAGACTAGTTTGGTTTTCTTGCTGTCTGCACAGAATCATAACTGTTATTTATTCCATACATAGCTCTGTGACAAATCTGGAGAATATGTGCTGTTAGTGGTCTCTGGTGACAAGATTTAGGAGAACTTGGAGGGCTGGTTCACACTTCACATTCCAGATGGGGTTTTTGCATGCATGTTTACATGTGTTTTTTTGATGTATTCCGCTGCATTTTTCTTCTCTTTTTTTCTTCCATCTTTAAGTGACATGTACGTTCTGGTGTGTTTTTTGCTGCGTTTCAGTACAGTTCCATGCAGAAAAAATGCAGCATTATCTACAGCATTATCTCTTTTTGTTGACTGTACTGAAAAGCAGTGCAATGGTGAGAACTATGCTATTGGAATCCATGCAACCTACCGTCCATGCGGTTTTTGATGCAGAAAAAAAACACACTGGACTCAATGTGGTGTGAACCGGCCCTAGTTAAAAGTTTTCATAGCCTTTGTAACCTTTTATTGTTTTATGTCAACCAGTCTGACAATGAGGCTATCTATATATCATCGCTAGCCACATAGCAATGCATACATAACTATCCACTAATTTCTGCACGTCTTACAATTCCAATAGCCTTTGCCAAATGAAATTTGGATTCTGAAATGTACCTTAATCTTTGAATAAATACCTGACATGTTAATTCACTTAGAAATTTGCTAAATCTTCACTAAAGTAAAAAGTAAAGGAAGAACTTCCCATTCTTTTAAAGGTTGTAGTTACCCTTGAAACGTTCATACACATGTAACCCCATTTTCACAAAAAAGTGATAAACTTTTTTTTCTTTCTTGTCCATTCAGAGACAAAGGAAGTCGTTAATCTTTGGGATAGACTGCCACCTATAGGAGAATTGGACACTGGCAAACTAACAAACTGTAGGCCAGCCCAGGATAACCCCTCCTTACCTGCATGCCTCAATTTTTTGCTAGTGTCCTAGGAGGATGGAGTTTTTTTTTTTTTTTTTCCCCCAGTTCTGCTGTGTGAAAGCCTATTTATCTGGCACAGTCATCCTCATTCTTGCTTTTGGAGTATGTTTCAGGTTTATTCTAGAAATTAATTTTGGACACTGGCTTTTGCATTGGATGCTTTCCAGACTCCTTTCTGGTAATAGCTGCAAAGTGCTTTCCATTGCCAGGCATTGTCTCGGCACTTGACCTAACTCTGAAGACACACTGGTTTTACCTTGGAAGGGTTTATGCAAGTGTTGCTTGTGCTCCACACTGTTTTCTTCCCAAACAGTATTGGTGAAGTATATCTCCACTGCTGATTATGCTTCTAAGAGACATGCGGAATTTTCAATCTTCGATCTGTTCCTGCTGCCTGCCAACAGTGACTTTGGTCGCCTATAGCAATCCCACCCTCACCTGCTACCAGCTATCAGGTTTTGTAAGTATTTGAAGTTTTTGCTCTTACCCTGAGTCTATACATTCATTAATAAAGCACTTTGTATTCTGGTAGATTACAAATTTGTCTTTTAAAGTGGTTCTTCACTCTAGAAAAAAAGAATTAAGTCAGCAGCTACAGATCCTTCTGCTTTAAGGACTTAACCAATAAGTGGTTGGAAACCCTTCATGCCCTTCATCCAATTCTGACTGTGATCTTACTTTGTCAAACCATGTCTGACTGGTCAAAATTCCTTAAGAGATCTAACAATTGCTATGATTGATCCCTTTCTTCTAAAACACGTGATGCAGTTTCCTGCAGCTTTAAATTTCAGCTATGACAGTTTGAAGGATTCTTCCCATTTCACTGCATTCACATATGCGTAGGGCACTTTGGCTAAGGCGCTGGACTGTGGAACCCTTGTGTAAAAAAAAAAAAAAAGCATTTGATTTGCTTGGCCTTTGAGGAACAAGGTCTCTTAGGACCAACTGTTCACAGCATCATTAAGGATGTTACTTGTGGTAAAAATGCCCATACTCCTGAACAAAAAAAGGCCAAGGAACATACTGCAAGTGCAAAGTCTTTGTTTTTACCAGAAATTCTTAATGGAATCTACCAAATCTGGCAACACCTCCCTTCGCTTTTTTTCCGCTTCTATGGACATAAAAAAACAAAGATTATCTGCATTTCCCCATCTTTTCAGTGATTCATACGCTTTGTTGTGGGGCCCCTGCACTACCAGTTTGTGGCCCTGTCCTTCAGCCTCTCATCTGCAACTAGAGTACTCACCATAATGCTGAACCCATTACTACCACTGCTGCCAACTTGGGATATCCTAATCGTGGGTTGCTTAGACCAGTGATTCTCAACCAGGGTGCTGTTTAGGTTTCCCTGGGGAGTTGTGAGCACAGAACTCAGTTTGCCCTGGCTCAGCATCATGAGTTGCCATGGTGTAGGCCGACAACAAGCACTAGAATGACCAACGTTGCTCTATGGCAGGACACACAATTTAATTTGTGAAAAGGCTTGCACTCGTGCGCTGCTACACCCTGAATAAAAATAAACAAAGGAAGATTGCTGCACCCACTCACTTCAAATTTATATAAACCAAGAATGTGTAGTGCACTAACTCCTCATCCAGACATATAAATTAAATAAAATAAAAAAATCCTTCAGTAATCCCATGCAAGATAAATCCACATTCAAATAAAAGTCCAACTCCCAAATCACAATGTCCAAATTAGTGCGTTTTTAACAATCACTTTCCAGAAGACGTGCTTGTGCTCAAGATACTTTCCCTGCTCAAATTTAAGTTTGACCTACAAATTATAATCGGTCAAATGCATTTTTACAGAAGTGAATCCTTTCATGTGGCGATGAATCCAAAATTTCTTCACTCAGTCATGACTCCAAAAACGTGTATATAAAAAAACACAAAAATATATATCGTAGTGCAACACCATTTAAATTAAAACTAATGGTTGAGTGCACAAAACCTATATGCTCACATTACAGCAAAACACACACCGTGCTCCACAAGAGCGTTGTAAAGTGTTCACTTCATCCAACAAATACAGAAGTCTTCCCTTCACCAATGAGTATACCATGCACTCACCTTCTTCCTTGACCCATATATCATATAGGTCATAAGCACTATAAACGTTGGTAAATCTTTTGCTTGTCATCTGCTATCAGTTAATAGCTATTTCCTTGCTACTGGCCCTACCACCGAGATAAATGCTCAGGGGAAAAAGAGGACAAATCATAGTGCAACCCCATAAAAAATGTTTCTTCTATTAAGCTATTAAAATCCACTCACAAAAGTGCAAAACAGTGAAGGCATGTAATTCCAATCACAAAAGTGTGTTTCCTCTCACCACACTTCCTGGTTTGCGAAGTATCTGAACTGATGTCACTAGGCTCCACCCACACATTGTCACTGGTCACCTGACTTCCTCAGGGACACAATGTTTACACTGTTTAATTTGTTTCTTTGGTTTTTGTGTTCTGGCCACTTGCACCATGGCAATGCATGACACTGATCCAGGGCAGATGGCATGCAAGGCCATCCCCATCATTCTGGAGAGGATAAAAGTCTGTTTCCTGTAAACCTTATCCACCTCCTGCCCTCTATTCTACTTCTTGAGGCAAAAGTGATGTGAAGAGAGCACTGTGTGATAAAGGGGGGAGGGGGTCTCTGATGCATAGAAGGGACCTTTGTCTCTCTCCCTGTATGTTCCTTGCCTTTTCCATGTGACTCTGTGGGACAAAAATCTGGTTCTTTTGGCGCGTCAGAAACTGCTGTTTGAGCCCATTAGAAACCTTGGTCTGTGCTCTCAGCCATAAGGTGGGGTTTCTGGTAATCATCAATTGTGCAAGGTAATTGCCTTATCCTGCAAAGAACGATTTCTGGTTCTGCATGGGATTAAGATGGGGCTGAGGCTCCAGTTCACGCAAACAAAATTTTACTCTATTTTTTTAATTTGGTTTGAGCTCTTAAAGTCTGTGCGAGTCTGTCTCTAAGCAGCTTCTTTTTCAGAGAGACTGATCTACTTTTTGTCATTCTGGATGGTGCCTAAAAAGGGCGTACCAGATTCTTGTACCAACATTTCTAGGTGGCTCAGTTAGACCATCATCCAAATGTATCAT